CAAAAGTAAATTTTAAACTTTCCATTTTTAGGTTTTCAACAAAACAAATCATCCACTCTGCTTCCAAATGATAATTTACAGGCGTCTCCTTATCTTAAGCTTGGTATATCTCACATGTCCTCTTATTCTCTGCAATACCAACACTGCAAACAACTGCTTGGACAGCAGTAAATATTATTTTTAAAGCGTTAGCACAATACCTATTCCAGTAGTTCTTTTGGTGATGGTTGCCATTTAATAAAAAGAAAATAGTCTGAGAAGGGTGTCAAGATGTTCCTGTTAAGTCATTCAAACCTTAAACTAAGTTGTTTAAAGTTGTTTCTCAGCTTAAAAAGCAGATGCAGCCATTTGTTTCCATGTTAAGATGGAAAGGATGAATTTCAGTGTCTGCAGTATCTGGATAGACTCATTGCTATCTGAGGTCTACGTCACAATAAACTCTTAACTATATGTTGATTATTGTTGTCCTGTTGATCAGGCCTCCTGCTCATCATTCATTATATTTTTCCTCTGTCTGTCAAGACTTTTCTGCACAACAAAAGTAATGAAAGCTCACATTTACACAGTGACCTGAGGAGTAAGGGTGTTCGCCCTTTTTTTTTAGCAGTAAAGGTTTATTTCCATTAGTGGTACATTTGTAAAGATAATTCCCTTCCTAGTGGTGCAGCAGTGTTGGGTTGCAACCATGGAAAACTTCATCCAGGTCTCTGTGGACCTTGTTCTGTTCTCTGGGCCAAACCTAAACGATGCTCACAAAGTTACTGTAGGAGCTTCACAGTTGACCAAAATGAGAGTTTTTCCACTGACACCTATGGTGCATCCCATGACCCACAGCTCTGAGATGACTTTTACTTCTAGGCTGACTGACTATCATTCAGATTTGTTTCCACTTTCTTGTAATACCAACTCTTGAAGGTGGAAATTCTAACAACAAGTAAACGTTTGGACTGGATTCATTCTGCAGGTGGCGGAGCTCCTTTCTCTCTAGAGAACAACCTATTCCCTCATAAATGTTTGCAGAAGCAGTTTGCATGATGCTGGATTTATACACCTTTGGTCATGGAAGTAATTAAAACAGCCAAATGTCATTACTTGGATGAATGAAGATGTGTTTCTAGCCTTTAAGAACATTTTGGCTTCACTTTGCCTTTTCAACAAATCTTAAGCTTCAATTCTTTGCAGAAAAATGTAGAATTACTGGAACCAAAACCTTTAGAAAAGAGGTTTGACTCTTTATGACCTAACTCCAGTCTGACACAATACCAGTGTTTAATACTACTACACTGTATAAAATGATAATATACTACAAAACTAATTATATTGAGATCAATTATTTCCACTCTTATCGGTCTCGTCAATATGAGCAATCCTTTATGAACCAATAATCAGAAAATTTTACTTAATCGTCAAACTGGCCTGTAATGAAGGGAAATATATTAAAATACCTTCTTCTGACGTGTCTGATATTCTTTTTTTAAAACCTAAATGTGCCATTCAGATTTCATGTATCATCATTGTTTCGCTTTCTCTGAAACAATGCAGTTTTTCATTCATTTCTGTGATTATTTTTCCTTTGCTTTTCAATTACAGTCCATCTTTTCTCCTTTTTGTATATATTTATGTTTCGGGGACTTCCCTGCATGCTTTGATTGGTTGTTCTCTGTCCCACTGACTCACATTTCCCCACAATGGGACAATAAACAGTATTTATATTTTGTTCTATTTAATTTAATTCTATTAATTACTCGTCTTAAATCTGAGGGAAAGTTTTTAAGAGACTAGCCAAGAACATTTAAAAAGAGGAAAACGTTTGGCTCCAATCAGAGCTGTTAGAATCAAAGAACTGGACGAGAACAGATGCACTTAATGGATCAATGTTCAGACCTTCTTGTTTCAGACAAACTAAAAATGAAGCCTCTGTTAGAATATTAGTGGCATGAGCTCCAGTCAAACACGACCTTTAAAAGACGGGTTTGTGTTCAGAGTCCCTTATCAATTATTTATTATTTCTCATGCAATGTTTAGAAATTCATTACTACTCATGTATTAATCATGCCTTTATTCAAATTAGTGTAATAAACTATGTGAAGGAGATTAATCGCTTATAGTAAATACGTTGGAATGTATTTATTTAGTGCTTCTACAGTTACCAACCACATTATGTTGGTATTAGCAGTTACCTGTTCCCACTGATCAAACAGTAGCGTGTTTTAGTACCTCAATACTTCCCATGGTGCGTTCACACTAAACCTGTTTTGTGTGTCAATAAGTTGTTCAGGACTTTTGACCCTGAAGCTCTTGACGTTTTGGGTTTTGCGTTCAAATAGTGTTGCTCTCGCCGCTCCTTAGCGCTGTCTCCCATAGACTTTGCAGGTGTGAACGCACCATCAACTGAGAATGTCACAGCCTGGGTGCGGATGGCTGGTTTAATGGTTTACTCTTTCCAACTGTCCAATTGGCCCGGTTGTTCATTACTGTTTATCTCATCCACCTGGTTCCTGCTGCTACTTATGCTGCCTGTTTGCCTGCCATCTGAGCCAGATTATTCCAGCTGTTTGTGAGACTAACTCTAGCAATTCTATATCATTCTGATTTTTTTATCCTGACCTGTTTCTGCTTTGGAGATTTCAAAGTTTTGAGGTGTCAGAACTCTGTGGGCGGCTCCCGCCTCAAGCTGTGGAGAAACCTCTGGTGACTTGACTCCATCTTCCGGGATCGGGCTGAACTCAGAACCAGGGTAGTGACTAATGCTCATAGTCGAGGCCCGTCTTAGATTCAAAGTCACTAACCTCAGTTTCTATCTCTATAGAGTATCCAGTGAATCTGTACCCAGCTGACGAGTAATCGCACATTTGTGATTTAATAAATGCTTGTTTTGAAATCACCCTGTTCTGTCTGCTTGAATATTAGGTCCTAAGTGGTTAAGTACTGAAAGGCACAGTGTGTAAAAAGAAAAAAGAATAAAATACAGCATAAAAATATAACATAAGGCAATAATATATATTTGTTTAATAAAAGTAAGTCTTGAGAAGAAATCTTAGAAACAATTCAGCAGGGGAGGAGCCTCCCTAATGGAGGCTATTCCATAAACGCGGAGCAGCGATAAAGACGGCTCTGGCCCCTCTGAGCTTCCTGTTAAACCTCGGTACCTGCGGATCTGCTGACCTGAGGAACAGTCTTTTAATGGAGGACTATCAGCTGAGCTCTAGTGAACAGCCACAGCTTGCTAGCTTTCTTTACCTTTAGTTTGCTTCTACTAAAAATCAAAAACAACAAAGATATAGGACTGTATACTAGGAGCAAATTGTTATCTTACTAGTAATAAAGTTGAGAAAAGAGAATCAGTTTTACATCCGGCTTCTTCTTTCAGCCTGCACCAGCGAATAAACTCCTTTTCGAGATCTACTCTTGTTTTTATTGTCGATCCTTCTTGACGTTTTCTCTTTTTAGTCTCAGGAGGTTTAAACTTCTTCTTTGCCTCAGCCATGACCAGCAGTAGAGCTAAAGTCTAATGTTCACATCCAAAGCAGCAGAGTCAGCAGAAGCAGCTGGTTCACATGCAAAGTCAAATGTTAATGTGCATAAAGGTGCAGCATAATGTCCTGCAGCACATTTTAAGCAGTAGCCTCATGAGTTTCTGATTATCTGACGCTCATGACGCACTTAAGAAGCAGCAGCTGCTGGAGTTGGAAAAATTTAACGTAAGCTGCTGGCGCGCCACATCATCCAGAGAAGCTGATCTGGGAGCTGGCAGGGAGTCAGACGCAGCACTGCTGATGCAGAGCGCTATGATCACTCCTCTGAAACAGTTTATTAACGCCTAAATTAACTTCAAATGTAGAAACCTGCCGGCAGAATATGTTGGCTTTTATTATCCTGCTGCCTGCAGTTTGTAGCACAGACCTGAAAAACGCTAACATCTACTTCCAGCCGCCACCAACAGGAGGGGAAAACCCTGGAGAGGCGAGCGGGCCTGAGGCAGCTGCTGCTGGGGATTCCCAGTGACAGCGCAGCGCCGGTATGTGGGGTCTGAGCGGCTCCCACAGAGAAATAATCTTTGAAGGCAGGATGGTAATCTGGATGAACTGACTGCACAGACCATGTTTTCAGGAGGACTTTCTCACTTCAACATAGATTCTAACTACTTTCTACCCGCTGATCACAGCTAATATAGCTGCCATTGTTCCAGGCAGAGAAAGGATAGAGTAGCTCCGCCCACCGCGCATCAGGACCACTTTTTGACTGCGCAGCTAGAGCAGCAAAGATGCTTCAACCATGAGTTAGAACTAAACTTGTACAAGCATAAAAAATTAAGCTGAATGCACGTTTTAGCTTCTTGTGCTGCGTGCGGTCTGAATGTAGCATTAGCTCCATGACGATATAAGAGCCTGTGGCCATAAAGCGATACGTTCTTCCAGGTCACATCCTCTTCAAACACCAACTGGGTAAGGTGGGAGAAGATGCAACAATGGTGCATCTTCTCCCACCTTACACTGTTGGTGTTTGAAGAGGGAAGCCCCGCTGGTAGCATTGATAGTGTCAAGCGCTGCATATTGGCTGATGAATCATTCTAAATAACTCATATGCATCAACTCTTTAAATCCGCAGTGTGCCTTTAAGGCTGCACAAAAGGGCAACATTTTTACTGCCTCAGATATACGGCTACAACTCCTACATGTGGCACTATTGGCACGTTTTTATTCAATACCAAAACATTTTTTGCAGTCAGCAACATAAACTAACAATAAAGTTAATTATATCGCTCCCAATTTGCAGGTACTGGACTGGGCATCAGTAAGGTGTTTAAATCAAAACAGTTTATGATCATAAACATTTCATCTAACAATCAAATGATTTAATTACACTTAAATGTAATCTCTTTTTGGATTTTGATATGTTTCCTCCTTACATATTTTTTATTTTTGGTTGCTGGATGTTAAACAGCTAAAGTGATGCATTCCATCAGTAGGTCTGCAAAACCTTTCTTTGTGTGTGTTTACCTGTGTTGGGAGGCATAGATAAAGGAGTGCAGGCATCTGCTTCCTGTCCCACTGATGAGGAGGACAATAAAGTCTTGGCAAGGAAGGCGGAGATGGGCTGAACCAGCAGAGATGTAAGACTCCCTCCAGACCCAGCTGGGACAGAAAGAAAACAAACAGGAAGCAGAAATTTTATTATAATGATTTCATTTTGAATACATTTACCACAAGCAAATTTACACGTTAAAAGTATTTAGAGAAGTTTAATATATTTCAATGTTTCCTTTCAATGCTCATAATGGAGGCCCTTTGATTGAACTGATGGATCCATGGTATCCAAGGAAACCCAGTATTAGTGGAACGATTTGACAGAATAGTTAACAAAACTCCCGACCATTAACCCTTTAAAGCCTGATCCAAGAAAAAAGCAAAATAGAAAATTACTTTTTTTTTGTTTGAATTCCTTATTTGCCCTTTTAACGAAATATGTCAAAAGAAAAAACAGAAATACATTTTTGATATTAATAATTTATTACTATCCGATAAGTCAAGATTATTTTTTGTGTAGTCTTCTACTGGCTGTTATCAGGTATATCTGATTGTGTTCAATAGGATTTTGAGCAAAGTTTTTACCATTAAATTATGCAAAAGGTGTCAGATGGAAAACATTTCAGAAACCGTATGTATAAAATATGATACATTTGGCATTATAGGGTTAAAGGTATCGCTATAGACTGTTCAGTAAATATTATAGCACAGCTGCCATTGAATACTATTCATTTCAGTTTATAAATTTACTAGGTTTGTGACCGTGTTTATTTGATGCCTATAATATATTTTTTTCTAATGAAAATTTAAAGAAAGAATCAGACTCTGTTCGTAGTTGTGACTTTAATGGAAAAGTTTAGTACACTAAGTAGGGATGCAGGATATAATCGGCCCCCTATCGGTATCGGCCTTAAAACTGAATATCGGACATCGGCCACCCCACCGATATTTAACCCGATATTTGATCAGCTTCTGAGTTTCTAAAGTCTAAAAAAAAAAAAAAAAATACTACTTCTTCTTCTTCTTCAAAAACGTCTTTTTTACAGACTTAAAAACTTCTAAAGACGAAGGAAAAAATATTGATCCATTAAAATATCCCAATATCTTCATATGCTGATATATTGGCATTTAAAAACACCATATCAATCTCTTTTACTAATGAAATATTGCTATATGTCATCGTTATGCTACGAAATCCCCCGAAAATTCACCAAATGTTGCCATATTTTTATATGTTGATATATTGACGCGGTATCGATCTATTTTACTAACAAAATCTCACAAGAATTTGCAAAATATCACGAGAGTTTGTAACAGAACGATGAAATTTCACCAGATTCTGAAAGTAAAATAGATCGATACCGCGTTTTTAAAAATCTATTTGATATCAGCATATGAAAATATATTTGAGTATATTATTTTTCAAAGTGTCAGAAATGGATAACAAAACTGCTATTTTCAATGACTACTTATTTTTGTCCAGCTTTAACATCGGTATCGATATCGGTTATCGGCTACATGAGTTTTAAAATATCGGCATATCGGATATCGGCCAAAATCCCAATATCGTGCATCCCTAACACTAAGGTAACCTGATGTAAATAAATAACAGTAAACAAAAAACAAATATTTCACTGCTCATTAATTGAAACTTGATGTTGAATTATTACAGTGAAGATAATGATATTGATAAAAAATATTTGTTATGGTTTTGAATTGGACTCAGACTTATGAAAAAATATAAAACCAACATCAACGTCATTGGTATCAGTACGGCTTTATATGGCAGAACTGCAGGAAAAAGCAGAGAAAAGACGGTCATGCAATAGATGATCCCCGGTAAGAATAAAAAATTAAAAATAACAGCTGCATCGAGGATTAGCGTCTGTACTGTACCTGATTTATCCACTGCAGCAGAAGCAGAAGCTCAGCATAAACTGACCTTAAGTGCTTTTAACTGATTATAAAGTACGAACAGTAGAACAAGTTCATTTGGGCAGGTAAATATTTGGCCAACCTGCTCGCTGAATAAACTACAACAGGACGCTTATGACACACATCGCTCTGAGCCTGTCGACTACACTTTCTAAAGAGTTTTCTAAGACTGATGGTTGGAAGTCCTGACATTCCTTCCGTTTTCCATGAAGGAAAGTATTTCCAAACACGGACTGTAATTAGGAAAAAAAGACAGTAAAAGATATCCAAACAATCAAAACTAAATATGGAATAAGAGCACAACCTGTAGCCTATGTCCATGAAACGATACAGAAATACAATCAGGACAGAATTAAATCTAAGAAGAACACGACAGACAGAGAGATGGGAGGGATTAACTAAATAAAAGCAGCTGAAAGGAAAAAGCAGCTGAGGGAAGCTTACTGTTACTAAAGGAAGACAAAAGGAAAAGAGGAAATGAAAGTATAACTAAATATGACGTTATTGACACGTAGTGCTAAATTATTGGAGCAATTTTCATCAGGTTACACTTTGAAGTAAAATACAATCTATTGTAATATTATCTGGTTTTATTTTATTATTAAAAGTCTTGTTTCCATGAAGTATAACTAGAAAAGCATCAATAAAAAACAGAAATAAAGGATTGAAAACATTCGTCTGTGAAATAATTCTAAATGGTGCTTTATTTAATGAATGAGTGACTGAAATTAACCACATTTTTAATTATTTTTTTTATAATTATTACATGTTATATTATTATACATCATATTATAATGTTATTAAATCGGTTAGCTGTTAGCCTAGCCTCAGGGCACAGCATTTAGAGAGAATAGCAGTAGCTGTCTGACTTCCATGGATGAACTCGGTCGGCTGTGACATCATTCAAATATCTGAGTCCTCTAAGCTAAATATAATACAGCGGTGATACTTTTATAAAACCTGAAAGCTGCAGGTGCTCTGAAAGGTTGCTTTATAGTCTTCGCCCATCTTTGCTGACTGTATAGCATCAGGAACAATGGGGTTGATGTCAGTTTTAGTTCTGAACAGGCAGTGCAATGAACGTCGATGGAAACTAAGAGATTTATAGCAAATAGAGCAGTTTTCTACTACTTGAAATGTGTTTCACAATTACAGCACAACTGCTGAGCAAATAGCAGCTCCATGATGCTGCAGCCCTCGCCTGCTTACAAAAGCCTTTAAAGTTTTAGTGCAAATTCTCTTCATTTGTGTTTTTACACGGTGAAAACATCAATGGAGGGAACAGAATGAAGACTGCATTTACAGGAATGATGGATAGAACATTCAAACTACGCTTCTATTGACCATTGAATTTGATGCTTGATGTTGCTTCATCTATTTACTGTTCATATCTAAAGAAAGTGTTCTCACAAAAAGGTGAATTTGAAAAAAAGGATGAAAAGCTGTTGTCATTATATAAAATACAACAAAAAGCGTTTTTCTGTAAGTGGTTAGGCTGAACTGGTGTTTGTAAGAATAGGATCTGGTAAATTGTAAACCAGAAATCTTTCACTTACTGGTACCTTATCTTAAGACGATCGCTCTAAAGTCTAATATTTTCACTTTAGAAAAACATGGATTGATTGGCAGCTTAACTGGGAAGTGCAATAAATAGCAAGTTAACGCAGTAAGCGAGCAAATCAAACCATAACCAAAGGAAATAAAGACATTTTGACGCCTTGAGCCAAAATCATATTCAAGCCAAACATCAGCTTTAGCTAAACCTGTCACGGCTTTTGGTGACAGAAAGGAGAGGATATAAAAATAGATGCTCAATGAGAATTTTACAAGTTTGTCTCACTTGGATTAACAGAAAATCTTTTTTAACTTGACAGACTGGTATGAGATCGTAAAAATGCATAAAAAATGCACATAAGATGTAAGGATTATCTTAAAGCAACAGAACTTCACACCAGGTACTAATCATGTTACCTAAGAATTGGAAACAGAAGCTCTGATTTACATAGATTCGCCAAAACTAGACAGTACAGGTTAGGAAAATGACAGAACAATGCTTCAATGGTGTGAATAAAGTAAAAGCAAAGCTTCCTCCTACTTTACTTTATATAAATGGATCAAGATGATGGTGCAAAATGGTCCTTCAGTAAAAACCTAATAATGTCTGAAACAACTGATTGTCTTAATATTTTACCATGTTTATGATAACAGTGCTGCTACAGCGTCGCTTGATGGAAACCTTCAGGGAAATGCAAAATTACTTAAATCTCTCATAATCTCATAACATCTCTTTATATAGTAGCAAAGAATTTACAGAAGTAGCCACTCTTCACTCTCATTGATGGGTCCCCTAAAATTCATTTTTAAACATCAATCTTCGTACTAAAATATTCTGTCATGATTTGTGGACATTGCGATCCAAAGAGAAGCGCCATCTGCTGGTCAGATCCTGTAATTCAGTGAAAGGGTGGAGTCAGAGTAAATAAATATGCAGGAGGAGGCGGCCAGTGGCTGGAAGTTGGAGGGAAGTGTGCTGCCATCTGGCTGGGTAGGTATATTTTGAATGGCTGCTTCTGTATATTGTTCCTGTGTCGTTTCTTTATATGGAAATTCTTGCTTTGGAGATGCTACATTCATGTCGGTCACTCCTCCCTCTAGCAAATCATTGAGCAACAGTCTTATCATGCAGCCTCTTGACCGACTTGCAAAGCTTGGAACTGCATAAAGCAGGTTGTAAAATAAGCCTTGGTTTCCTAGTCACTGTTACTTATGGAATAACCTGAAAGGGACACGAGCAAACTGTAAAGCCCAGAGTTGGTACCAATGGCAGAGGGCCATTAATAAACAACCAGGACAACTTTGTGTTTATTGCATCCAATGCATCCACTGATTTTCACTGCACATGACAGTGCAGACTTTAAGATTGCATCTAAAGGTTGAGTTTGGCTTGTATTGCATCTGACGCTGCTGTTCTTTAGGCCACATCTAACTGTGCATCCAACAGTTTATATTGCATCCATTGCTGCATTCAGTTTACACTGAATTTCACGCAGCTTCCAGTGCTTTATGTTGCTGCATCCAGCAGTTTATATTGCATCCGATGCTGCATTCAGAGCATCCGACACTGAAGACACACACTTCCTATTTTACATGTTGATTTATGACAAGATTTCCACTTCCTGGCAGCGGAAACCGATTCTATCTGAATTCTTTGGAGGTCAGAAACTACTGATTGGTGACCTCTGTGCGTAAAGCAAGTCATCAAATTCTTACTTCACTTTGAGTTTATATGGCTCTAAACTTCCAGAGTTAAAGTCATTCATATTCACCCTGATATAATACTCCTAAAAGCTAAATATTAGATCTATTGTACCAAGCAAATCGTAATGATTAATTTTTAATTTTAATACATGTTTAAATAAATGTTTTTGTCAAGTATAACAAATGCTTTTTTCCTCTTAAGATCATCATGATAGCATAATTTTTAGATAATAGAAAAATCATGCTTCTTATAACATGACAGTCATAATGGGGGGTTTTTGATCAGACTGCATCTCTGGGGTGAGCTGATAAATAAAACATTTAAATAAAAGCTGTGAGACCTACAGCAAAGACAGAAACAGACATAGTAAACTGACATGTTAAAATGAAATGAAAAAATCTAGACGAGGAAAAAAAAAATGTCCAAAAACCTAAATAGTAACTGAAACAGGTGAGTGGCATGAGTGTGATTGGCAGGCTAAAAGCTGAACAGAAATAACGAGAAACTAACTTCCCTGGCAGACATGCAAACAGAAAGAATAAATGCACAAAAACAAAGAAGCTAAAGAACAAATATGTGCAAATACAACCAGACTTATTTCATAATGAGAAAAAGAAAATTTAATGGAAAAAATTAAGAGCTGCAAACAAAACAAGAATTAACTGAAAACATATTTTGAGCATAAAGTAGTTTCTAAACTAAAATATGAAAAAAACTATTTACTATAAAGAAGCTGAATAAAAACAGAAATGATTAAGGAGAAATGATTTACAAATCATATCAAACTATAAGCATATGGCATCAAAATGTTTTAGATTAGATTAGATTAGATTAGATGAGCTTTATTGATCTCACAGCGGAGAAATTCACTCGTCACATATCGGCATAGAAGTTACAGAAGGTGCATTAAGAATAAACAATATATATACAGTATATCAAGATAAACAGGATTAAGGTGCAAAAGTACATGTATCGCACACAATGAAAAACAAAATAAAAATAAGAGATAAAAAAATAAGAAATAAAAATATTTACAATCGAGATGGCTTATATACAGGGGTAGAAATATAATACTGTATGCTGACTGTCAAAATACGTACGATTCTTAATAGAGTAGCAGCCATTAGAAATGGCCCTTCCCAGTCAAACGCCAACTGAATGGCAGCCAACTTCCAGCCATTGCAGTGACCCCCCCCCCCCCCGCAAATGTTTTTACTCTGACTCCACCCTTTCACTGAATTACAGGGTCTGACCAGAAGATGGCGCTTCTCTTTAGATCCTAATGTCCAACAATCATGACAGAAAGAATATTTTAGTACAAAGATTGATGTTTAAAAAGGACCAAGGACCAGCCAAGGACCAACCAAGAACCAGCCAAGTACGAGCCAAGGACCAACCAAGGACCAACCAAGGACCAGCCAAGGACCAGCCAAGGACCAGCCAAGGACCAACCAAGGACCAGCCAAGGACCAGCCAAGTACCAGCCAAGGACAAACCAAGGACCAACCAAGGACCATCCAAGGACCAGCCAAGGACCAGCCAAGGACCAACCAAGAACCAGCCAAGGACCAACCAAGAACCAGCCAAGTACGAGCCAAGGACCAACCAAGGACCAACCAAGGACCAACCAAGGACCAACCAAGGACCAGTCAAGGACCAACCAAGGACCAACCGAGGACCAGCCAAGGACCAACCAAGGACCAGCCAAGTACCAGCCAAGGACCAGCCAAGGACCAACCAAGGACCAACCAAGAACCAACCAAGAACCAACCAAGGACCAACCAAGGACCAGTCAAGGACCAACCAAGGACCAACCTAGGACCAGCCAAGGACCAACCAAGGACCAGCCAAGGACCAGCCAAGGACCAGCCAAGGACCAACCAAGGACCAGCCAAGGACCAGCCAAGTACCAGCCAAGGACCAACCAAGGACCAGCCAAGAACCATCCAAGGACCAGCCAAGGACCAACCAAGGACCAACCAAGGACCAGCCAAGAACCATCCAAGGACCAGTAAAGAACAGCCAAGGACCAACCAAGGACCAACCAAGGACCAGCCAAGGACCAACCAAGGACCAACCAAGGACCAGCCAAGGACCAACCAAGGACCAGCCAAGGACCAACCAAGGACCAACCAAGGACCAGCCAAGGACCAGCCAAGGACCAGCCAAGGACCAACCAAGGACCAGCCAAGGACCAGCCAAGTACCAGCCAAGGACAAACCAAGGACCAACCAAGGACCAGCCAAGGACCAGCCAAGGACAAACCAAGGACCATCCAAGGACCAGCCAAGGACCAGCCAAGGACCAACCAAGGACCAACCAAGGACCATCCAAGGACCAGCCAAGGACCAACCAAGGACCAGCCAAGGACCAGCCAAGGACCAACCAAGGACCAGCCAAGGACCAACCAAGGACCAACCAAGGACCAACCAAGGACCAGCCAAGGACCAGCCAAGGACAAACCAAGGACCATCCAAGGACCAGCCAAGGACCAACCAAGGACCAACCAAGGACCAACCAAGGACCAACCAAGGATCAGCCAAGGACCAGCCAAGGACCATCCAAGGACCATCCAAGGACCAACCAAGGACCAACCAAGGACCAGAGGAGGGGTCCACCCTGGACAGGTCTCCAGTCCATC